TAAGCTGAATCTTATTCAGTACTGGACTAGAATTTTTATGAGCACTTCTTATGTGTAAGCTTTGAGCTAGAGTTTATGGGGCGGATTCTAAAATGGATAAACTGAGATTCCATTTCCTAGGATTTGACAGTGGTAAAAGATGGTGGTGGTAGATAAGCATAAATTACTCCACTAAGATAGAACAAGTTAGGTTAGAACTAAATGCTGTGAGTGATTGATTGGTGGAATAAATTAATTCTAATTGGGAGTCTGGGAAGGGTAATCTGAGTGCATCATGAAGGGTACTCAGGGTTTAAATATGCAGAATTTAAATATGTAGACTGGGATTAAAACTATTCTAGGCAAAGGGAACAACTTGAATAGCATTTAGCAAAAGAAGGGGGCAAATATGTGTGGAATAGCAAAGAGGCGTAATCCCCATTACCAGCATGAAGAGGACTTGAGACAATGCAAAGACAGTGGCAGAAGGGTCAGGTAGGGATGATGTAATTGAGGGCCTGAATATCAAGCTAAAGTTTTGTTTTGTGTGTCACAGGGAGTCGAAATGAGTATTTGACCTGGCAGGGATGAAAATTGGGTGCATATGTCAGGATTTAGCCCTAAAATCTCATTATATTAGGTATCTGCTCTGTTAAATAAGTCCTAGGACATAGAAATAATGGAACAAACACCAAGATATGAAGAGATTTGTCAATTACAAATTGAGCACAAGAAAGGGTGTTTTGTGAATTTAGACAGAAGAAAGAGTTTAGTTAGAGGAGGGAGTGAACACATTTGTGTGGGTCATGGGAGAAACAGATATTCTTTCTTAGATCCCGTCTCATTCCCCGCAGAATCTAAATACGTGTTCTGAGAGGCCTCTTTCTCTTCTCTTAAAAGAAAAAAATGTGGAAGTGACTGGGGTGATACACGTGGGGAGCTGGCTGCACATTAGAATCATTTAGTGAGCTTCTAGAACTGCCGGGGGCCATGCTCTATCCCAGACCAGGGACATCTGAAAGCTCCTCCGGTGACTTCTAATGTGCAGCCAGTGTGCAGTGGTCCTCCAAATGTGGTCCTTGGCCAACAACATTGGCATCACCTGGAAACTTGTTGGAAATGGAAATGATCAGCTGCATCCTAGCTTTGGGGGGCAGGGGCAGTAGTCTGTTTTCACAAGCCCTCCAGGGGATACTCCTGGAGGACCCCCAGTGTGATGGAAAGACTTCCCAGTTTGGATGCAGAAGACCTGAATTCAAATCCCCATCTGTTCCTCTTTGGCAAGTGACTTAATATCTATAAACCCGAGTTCTTTGTGCTGAAATCACTTGTGATAAAACTAGGATTCCAGGGTCAACTCCTCTAGCCTGTCTCAAGATATCCTAGAGGTGAGTCCCACTTATAATGACTCACATTTACATGGCTCTGTGGACATGGCAGGACAGATAAATTTTATAGTCCCTCATTTACACATGTGAAGACTGAGGCACAAAGATGTCGAAAATGTGGAATGATCTGTCTTCTCACTATTTTAGAGCTATCTAGAGTCTGTAGAGTTATCACAGCATTTGTCACCAGATCTTCAAGGTTGAATTACATCTTTCCAACAAGGAAGAGCTAGGAGCCATCCCTTGGGAGATTATCCTTATCTTCATCTTCTTCAGTTGTTCTGGTCTAGGAGCATGTTATAATTTGAATTATGTCCCTATCAAAAGATATGTTGAAGTCCTAACCCCTGGTACCTGTGATTGTGACCTCATTTACAAATAGGATATTTGCAGATATACTCAGGTTCAGATGAGTTCATTAGAGTGTTCCATAATCCACAATGACTGGTGTCCTTGTAAACAGAGGAACCTTGGACACACAGAGGGAAGATGATGTAGAGACTTGTGGTATGAAGGCAGCCGTGTGATGACAGAGGCAGAGGTTGGAGTTATGCTACGACGAGCCAAGAAAAACACAGGGCTGGAAGAGGCATAGAAGGCTCCTCCCCTAGAAGCTTTGGAGGGAACGTGGCCCTGATCACATCATGAATTCAGACTTCTAGCCCCCAGAACTGTGATACAACTATATTCTGTAGTTTTTAGTACTATGATGGTATGGCAGTCCTAGGAAACCAATAAAAAGCAAATGTTCGCTATTTTTGGAAAATGTCTTATCTTAGAACTGAGTTGGGAATATAACCCATGGGTGGAAGACATACTGAATTACGTTTTCCTCTGAAAAACATCTAAATAACTCACTGACCTTCAGAAGTGACTCTGGTTCATGGCATGCTTTGCGTATAGGAAAACACCGTCATCATATAACTTGAAGGGTGTCAGAGGCCCATGTCTCCCCACAGTTTTCTTTTTCCATATCCTACTGTGAGAGTCATCTCTTTGGGTTAAACATAGTCCATGTCTCAACCTTCTTTTAAAATGAAAAAGGTTCTTGAGAGGGGCAACTCATTAAAGAATTAATATCTTGTCCTTTGATTACTGGGGGAAGGAGGTGAAGAAAGAGTCCTTAAAATGAAAAAGGGGCCAAAAACTTGAGGGGACCCTGAAGTGAAATTCTACCTTACTCTACCATCTTATCTTGGGCTAGTCTTGAATATTTTAGTAGGAACTTCGGCTCTGTTTTAATAATCTAATTACCATAGAAATCTAGGAAATTTCAAATGCATATTTGCCATATAAAGGAGAAAAGCAGTCATTGTAGGTTATCAGGAGACTGTTAAACTTTTCCTCTTGGTGTGCTTCTTTCTTTTACGTGTGCGAAAATAATTCTTTCCCAGTTTGAAAAGAGACCCAAAGCAATACTGTTTTTTATTGCTAATGAGGTTGTTTAGAGTTTAGAAATAGAAGCTTATGAGCTCTTGAAGGTGGAGGAGTGCGGATATTTGCTATGGAGTTGGCTTAGGATTCTATTTGTTGAGGTTCTTTTAAAGGTCAAGAAAAATTTGTATGAAGATAAAAGCAATCCAGTTGGCAGAGACTAGAAGATGCTTGTTTCTCAAAGAGATTTCGAGGCTGTTGACGAAAAGAACTGCTCTTTCATCCCTTCCTAAAACAGAGTTTCTGACAGCAGTCCTCAAATCAAATGTTTCCAAATATTTGAGTCCAGGTTTTCCTCATAAAATATTTCTAATCAGGGAATACAACTAGATATCACTCAAATTCAATTTCAGAAATAAATTTCATGCAGTTCAGATCTCAACTGCAGGCTTGCTCCATTAGAGAGACAGGAAAAAGACTATGAAGTTTTATATTTATATATGTATATTTATACATATTCATATATTTTAATTGAGGACCTTTGTGCAAAACATCTCACGATCAGGCCACCAGTCTCTACAAAGTTAAGCGATTCGTACAAATGAGTCAGTTTTCAGGACCATGGCAGAGATAAGGAAGGGATGTTGCAATCCGAAGAGAAAAGTCAACACGTAGTACAGCGTCAAGGAGGAGAAAAATAACATCTAAGAAAAAAATTCAGCATGAAATTAAAGGAGAACCTGACTATGATCCCATTTCCCCATCTGAGCCCAGAAGATAAAAACTGTAATAAATTCATTCATCTACACCCACTTTAAATATCGGAGCCGATCAGCAGTTTCACTGATGTACGGCCAGACTTTGAAGTCTGCCTTAGCTCTGGAATTCGACCAGCCACTTTCCAGACCATGTAATGTATTGCAGCTCTTTCCACATTATGCATTCCAGATGGCCACAGTAATTCTTTGTGCATTTTCTCCTTTCTTATTTGGGTTACTGGGGTAATTTGGGAATAAAGTGTGTATGCTGCAAAGTGAAAATTGACATACACTTACTGCCCTGAGCTGCTCGGTGATATTAAAGAAACCGAAAGAGTTAAAAATATAGACCGTAAATGGAGGGGGGTGGAGAGAAAGGATGGAGGAAAGCTTCTTAAGCAGTTATTTTTGCTGCTTGCCAAATGAGGGGCCCTGGCTGCCTTGAAACACTAGTTACTGCTTCGTGACTATCTAGGGAGGTTACTAACCATTCTCCCTCTCAGTGCTCCCCTCGGCTAACATGTTACCGTCTTGACCTTAGGTGATCGTAGGATTTATCCGCAAATAGGGATAAGGCTGGGAATGAAAAGAGTGCTGTTAAAAATTACACCTGGGTAGTGGACTTAAACCCCATTTACAAATCAGGACATGTGTTCACATAACATTGAAGAGTAACTTCTAAAAGGATGTTGAGCGGTTTAAATGCTGGTTTTATTTAATTCAGCACTTGCTCAGTGCAAAGGGTCTGCCAAGTGGCTGTTGACCCTTGGGTTTGTGGTGACTGGACTCTCCAGGTCCCCACACAAAGTCAACACATGCAGTTAATAGGCAAAAAGCGTTTGGTCACCAGACGGGCCGCTTTGCCTCGGCAGCACTCACCCTCACTTAGTCCAGCTTGCCCTGAGCTGATTTATGTGGAATCCTATGGCTGTGACTGAGTGTGCCTTTGGGTTGCTCCATTGTTTCTATTCAGATTGTGAGAGGAATCTGTGACTGAGGTGAAATAATGGCATGGAATCCTTTCTAGCAAAGGAGACAGTCTTTTTTAAAAATGTTTTTTAAGGCTGCATTAAAATATCTCTAGTGCCAATGCCATGTGTGTTTTAAAAATATTTTTTAAGGCTGCATTTAAATATCTCTAGTGCCAACGCCATGTGTATTTTAAAAGATGTTTTTCTATGCAAGTCCCCTTTGGTGTATGGTTACGGCTGTCATTCTCAAACTTTGCTATTCATCTGAATCATCTAGAACCCTTATTAAAATAGAGAGGCCAGGACCCGGTCCCCAGAGATTCTGATTAAATAGGTTTCATGAACATCTGGAAGAATCTACAGGAACTAAAAATCCAATGGAAACCAAGCCCCTTACAATCGTATTTCTCATTTTCTCATCAAATTCTCGATCCTGTCCATGAAAAATAGCTCTGGAAATTTAGCCAGGTTTCTAGTTTCCGTGCAAGGAATGATTCTCCCTCCAAGCCATCTGAAAACAACGGCTCTCATCTGGTGAAGAAAGACGAATTTTATTTTCTAAGACACCAAACAAACTATTGCAAGCATTCTGCTCTTTTTCCAAGCGGTTTTCATTTTCTACCCTAGTGGGGAGGCCTGTGCACACAGGGCGGTTTTCTTTGCGACGAGGCAGGAAGCTGAGGAGTGTCTTCTCCCTTGGGAGCTGCAGCTTGCGTTTCACAGACGCAAGAGGCTCCCAGTTTTGGAGGAGGCAACTGGAATTCTGGACCTGGAGCCAAACTCCCAAATATTCTAGGGCAGCACAACAGAAAAAACATGTGTATTTGTGTTTGTGTTTCCTTGCTCAGGCAAAGACATGGACAGATAAATCTCGCAGAAACATTTCATTTTTCTGGGACACTCAGAGAAATCAGACCATGTTTATTTGCACAAAGACTGCTGTGTGATTCAGATGCTCACCCAGTCAGGATCCACTTTGCCATGTAAAACACAGGCTCTTCTGAATTTTTTTTTTTAGTTTTTTTTTTTCTTACTGTAACAATATTACATTTTTTTAAACACTCGGGGAAAAAAAAAAAAACAGAATGGACGACAAGAAAAGCAAACCACCCAAAGCCCTATCTTTCAGAGAAAACACATGTTAATATTTTAGAGTCTTGCCTTCCAAGTTTTATATCTTCATAGTGCAGATATGAAAAAATGAAAATTGTCATTAGTATACCGTTTGATAATCAGGTTTTCACATGATATATTTTGAGAATTACTCCATATTGTTAAATATTATTCAAAAACAAGATTTTTAGTTTTTTTGGGGGGGGCTGCATCAGAAAGATAGATTTTTTAAAAACCTGCCTGCTGGCTGACATTTAAATCATTTCCTTTTAAAACATGTTTATATATTGCTGTAATTAATAGCCTTAGGTTAAAATTTCTATTTAACATAATTGATAAATATATTAAAGGTCTTGGTGCATATTGCCAACTTGGAACCTGGGCATTTTGATTCTATCATTGGCCCATAGTTGATAGGTGTCTGTGAGGACGAACGCTTGCAGTGAAAAGTTTGTATTCTGTAGGGGAAACCCCGCCAAATTCCCCATGGGAAGGTTGAGAAGTCACTAATACTTACGCCGAAGTTTCTGACCATGGTCACTTTTCTGGATTTAGTATAATGGCAGGAGCTGTGAATTCTAGGATATGAAGAATGGGGTTTGCAGTGGATGGGATTTTTCTTGGTCTCCCGATAGCTGTCATTACCTATGTTAACTTTTGGGAGAATAACAGAAACAAAACGGGTCTCATTCAGATTAGAATCTGGACAGAAAAAGAGCATTTTCCCACTGACCTCTTCCTGTGAACCAACAACTTACACGGTATAAGAAACAAGTATGATGAAGGGAAGTGACAATTTAGTGTTTTCTTAAACTTTGTGGTCTAGACCTACTATTTATATTTTTAATCTATACCCTTGTCGCTTTCATTCAGCAGCCACCCTCCTGCATCTCCATCCCAGTCTCCGTGCTTCAGCTATACTCACCTCCTAGTGATCTCTCTCTCCTAATACCTGCTTTACCCCACCACACTGTCTTCTCTGCCAGGAACACTCTCCATCCCCTCCTACACCCCTCCTAGGGGAACTTCTGCTTTCCCGTCAGATCACAGCTTAAACAAGTTTCAAACCAGGAAAGTGCAGACAACTGGGGCCTTGCACTTCAAAGAAGACCCTCCATCAATATCAGGGCATGCAGGTACTTCAGAATTTTGCGAACCTGGTGGACAGAAATTGAAAACAATCTTTTATTAAAAACTGCAAACATTGTTATCTGGTGGGAGGTAGAGACTTAAATACTTCTTAAGGACAGGCCATCCCTTTGTCCAAGAAAACCACCCCAAGTGGGAGATATGTGTAGAGCCAGGGTTTGCACTGGCAATAAAAATGTTTTAAGGAGCTAACAATGTTTTGTGAGTGAGAAGGAAAATGTATTTCTACGAAGGAGGCAGGGAAGCATCTCTACATTGCTCTTTTTTTTTTTTTTTTAGCTTGCTTTTGGAGATATATGAAGCAAAATGTCTTCTCACCTTGACCTTGGAGCTGGGTCGAAACATTTGCGGTTAGAGAAAAGGGCCTAGAAACAGAAACTCTTTTCACAGGAGACTCTGTGAGGCTGCTAGAACAATAAGAATTTTTTGGAACCTCAAGCGACAACACTCAGCATCTATATGATACCCCAAAGATGGGTGTCTTGTTTCCCATCACATGTTGTGACTGGTTTTTGCAATTAGGTAGGGAAACAATGGTCCTTTGGTAATTACTGTATAGCAACATTAAAAAATTTACCTATAAGGACCAGTGATGTTTTCGCTAACTCTCCTGGGTGTCTAGGTAAATGATTATACCATCTGGAATAAAAGATAATTTTTCTTTTCTTTTCTTATATATTTTTTTATTTCTATTTTATGTCTTTTCACAATGAAAGAAGCCACATGACAGCCAAGCTGGGTGGAATGATTTAAATGCTGTTGAGTTTCTGAGCAGCTGTGGGAATGATGGATTTGAGAGCAGAGAGGTGAGAGGCTAGAGACAGAGGGAGCAGTAAGGACAACATTACGACACTTTAGGAGTGAAGTAATGATGTCTTTAACTAAGATAATGGATACAGATTTGAAAACAAAAAAAAATATATGTGCACACATACCCACATACATACATACATGTATATTTTAGATGCCCTACTGAGCTTTTTTGGTGACGTGGTAAATCAACAAAAACGAATCTTAGGCTTGAAGCCTGAAGCCTGGTGGTCTAATTAATTGTTAGCAGGAAATTATTTTTAATAGACAATGAAATCATTCGTTTATCTGTAAAGAGGTGATAGGAAGTATTTTAATTAAAACACCCAGTTTACAAAGACATTTAATACTGTGGATTCGAGAGAAATTCTCTGTTATTTCAATTTTTACTATTCCTTTGTGGTCTGAGACGTAATGCAGCCAAACTCGAACTCTGTTAATTAGCACGTGCGTGGTGCTTTTCCAGGCTCCAGAGCAACTTTATGGGCGTGTGATCTCATTTGGGTCTCACAGCAACCCTACGATATGCGTCATAACAGAAAATAGCGTCTGTGGAGCACTTTACAACTGCAAAACACTTTCCCTTGATACATCCTTTCAAGATCATGTACACATGGGTTACCAGAGACTTACTGTCCAGCCTAGTGGCGGTGCTACTTGGAGTTCCCTGGGCTCAAGGTGCTGTTTTGCAGTCCCATGTCTTGGTGCTTCTGGTTCCCTGCAGTAAAATATCCTCCCTGCCTTGTCCAGCAGCTGAGACTCTGTAACATTCAGGAAGAGCCTCTCTATCTTCCCCAGGAGGATGATGGAGGCAGGTGGTGGGGGAAGTGAGGACATGCGCAGGCAGCATAGTCCTTGGGAGCGAAGGGCTCGATTGGGCTGGTGACTACAGTAGGACTGATGGGGTAACCCCCTGCCTAAGGCAGCACAAGCTCAGGTCTTCGGCTGTCTCAGCTGTCCGTGGAGGTGTCAGTAGCACCCCGGCTATGCAAAACCTACATCACCTTGAACTCTGAGGCATCCTCCTTTTATGCTTCTGCTCCTTAGGCAGCTCATTCCTATCTACAAAGAGAACGATGCTGGACACTCATCCCACGACCCTTGCCCACCACCCCTACAAGGTCCCGTCAACTTTTAATTTTTTTTTGAATCCTACTTTTTCTCGGAGGAGAAAAGAAAAAGATAGAAGTGTTTTATAAAGGGAAATCAAACAATGGAGCAGAGCAGCTCGGGGATCCAGCTGTCATTTATTACATCTCCCGTTACGGTATCACTTCCTCCAGGAAGCCTTTCTTAGGCGTCTAGCCGGGGCTCGGTGCACCCACCCGCCCGTATGCTCTCGCCCCTTTACTCACCCATATTTTGATATATAGAGTAAATGACACTTTCTTGGTGACAAGGGACAGAGTCTCAATTCAAATTAGCTCAATGAAATAAAGCAAGTAAGGCACAAGCAAAATGAAATAAAAGGAGGAGGGGTTTACTGGATCAAATAGTCAAGCCACAGAAAAGAGCTGGGCTGGCCCCAGGCCTCAGTGCTGTTGGGAAGCTGCGCGTCTGTCTCATCTTTGCTCCTCTCAGGGAGTTGGTAGCATTCTTTCCTGCCATAGTGATGTCACTGGCCTAGATGGTGAGCAGGGAGGAAAAAAGTCTTCCCTACCAGCTTTAGTTTTCCCGGCTGGGGTAACAGGTTTATTCTTAGACCAGTCATTCTGGTCAGAGGGATGACACAGGTTGATCCCTGAGGCCGTGGGCTATTCCTGAAGGTGCAGTTGGGGGGAGAGACATGGCTAATGGAGAAATCTGTGACAGGAACCATCCTTCCCAGTTATGTCTTTTGGGAGCACTCATTCACCTGAAGTGTAACTGTTATAACTCATCTGTTCTTCACTTACCCTCAGCCCATCAAGGATGAGGATGGTATCTGGTTCCGATTTTGTGTCTTCGTTTTAGCGCAGGACCTGGAATTCAGTAAGGGTTCACTAAATATTTGATAAACGAAAGAACGAATGAATTAATTCACATGTGACAGTAGGGGCCAGATTAAATTAGGTCTCTAAACGGTAAACTCAGGCACAACTACAATGCACATCATCTCAGATACATTCTTATATGAAATGGAATATAGAACGCAGAGGCTCTGAGCTTCTGGGTGATTCTTTTTCACTTTCTAAACCACAAGAGAGTGGGAATGAAGCAGATGAGGCAGACGTGAGTACCTTCGAAACACTTCTGCACCCCGAAGGTTTCAACCTATCTGACTGTCAGATATTCAAGTCTCTTGCTGTGACCCAGCCCCTCCTCACACTGCCCCTGCCAAGGCAGATGCTCTGAATCGGTCTAGACGTCTCCAACTCCCCCAGGTAATGTCGAAGAGCTCACATTATGGTTAGCTGGAGTAATAGAACATTTTTCCTTCATAACCTTCCTAAATGCCTACGTGGCAATATCACTCTTAGAAAAGAAATACTTTGTTTTAAACCACCCTGTTTGCAAATAAAAAATTAGGTCGACATGACTCTCTCCTAGTACTTTGTTTACATTGCATTTTGCCCATGAGGAATGTTTTGAATTTGAGCAAATTAAACACTCTCCAAACGTGGTGCTTAAAATAATAAAGAACTCTCTGGAACATTTAAGCTGAGCTGGAGTCTTTCTTGACAACACCTGTGATTCACCAGCTGTTGCCATGGAATTTGGCTGTGGAGCTGCAGTGTGCTTTTCCCAACATTCGTTTGGCAGATATCATTACATTCAGTAATACACTTAAAGTCCTAAAGAGAACCTTTGCCTTCCCTATGGCTTGCTAGACAGGGAATGAAGTTGTCTTAGCATCTAGTAGAGAGAAACATTAGCTTTAAAACTGTAATAATATTTCTTAAAATACGGGGTGACTCTGTCCCCAGGCTGCTAAGACTTCCCAATTCATAGGAGACACTATGTACTCTGAAGTTCTATGGAGGAGCTGCCCTCAAAAAGAAAAAAAAGAAAGAAAAGAAAGAAAAAAGAATAACTCTCACCCCAAAGTTTAGTAAGGTGGCTTTGTTTTGCTGGAGAACTCTTTACTTCAAAAGTAAATGAGACTATTTCAGGAGATGTCTTGCTGACTCCAAGAAGGCTTTATGAGGAAACGTGTCATGGTGATAATGGAATTATCATTGCTCTGTGTTTGTTACTTCACAAAGTCCTGGGACTTTTCACACAGAATCTCTGTGATAAAGGATTATTTTAAACATAATGGTGGGTTGGGGGGGGCGCCAAATACGTAAGCTACGTCCCTGCTCACTTCTAAACGCCCTTCTAAGAGTTTTTTTTTTTTTTTAAATGAGGGATAGACTCATTTACTATCTCAGGTTTAATAAATTTAAGAATTTATAATAGTAAAAGTGCTAAATTCTGCCCAATTTAGCTTATATATTGAATGTAATTCCAAAGAAATTTCAGAGATTTTTTTTTTTTTCTTTTTAACTTGGCAAATTGATGGTAAAGTTAATCTAGGGGAATACATGTATGAAACTGGTTAGGATAATTTTGAACAAGAAGATAATAAGGGGACATTTGAACTATCAGATATAGACAAATATTATAGTTATAGTGTTTTGAAAAGCATGGCACAAAGTAGACCACTTACTTGAAAAGGAAGTGTTCAGAAAACCATCTCTGATGGCTGTAGGAACTTAATATAGAACAAAGATTGCATTTCAGATAAGTGAAAGGATAAACTGTTCAATTAATACTATTGTGACAATTGAAACATTTGAAAGCAAAGCCAAGCTACTTAATACCATAAACGAACAAATTCTAGGTAGATTGCAGATTTGCATGTCAAAAAGAAAGTAAAGCAAAGGAAGAAGAAAATAACAAAAGATAGATAAACTTTTCATAACATTCCTGATGCAGGTGCTATGCGTGTGTGTATGTGTTTGAATGCATATGTGCGTGTATGCATGCCACCTGTGTATTCTCCACTTTAATCTTCTTTTTACACTGAGAATTATCTGGGACCCATATACAAACTTGTCACTCCCCTATTTAAAATCTTGCAGTAGATCCACACTATCTGCCTTACTATTATTAAACATTGAGCCATGCTCCATCTTTACAGCCTTGACTCCTGTCATTTTCCCACGTACCCTTCATGCTTTAGCTATGCCAGGTTCTCAATTTGTTAAAAATTAATTTATTTTCCAATTACAGTTGACATACAATATTATATTAGTTGCGGGTGGACAACATAAGATTAGACATTTATATACCTTATGAAGTGGTTACCTTGATAAGTCTAGTACCCATCTGACACCATACATAGTTATTATAATATTATCGACCAAGTTCTCAATTTTGAACAAGCAACCACTTCCTTTGCCTCTGTGCATGCAGTTTGCTCTGTCTGAAATAGTTTTCCCTTCCTCCTTCACTTGAATGGCTCCCGTTCATCTTTTAAGGATCAACCAAAACATCACCTCCTCTGGTAATCATTTGGTTATCATGCCAGATGTACCAGTTAGGGTTTTCCAAAGAAACCAAACCAATAATGTTTGTTTGTTTGTTTGTTTGTTTGTTTGTTTGTTTGTTTACTTACTTATTATGGAGGCTGCGAGATTATGCAAGCTGGAGAACCAGGAATGCTGAGTCTGAATGTCTGAGAAAAAGATGGATATCCCAGCTCAGGTAGAGAGAGAGCAAATTCCTTCTTCCTCTGTTTTTTGGTTCTATCAGGCCCTCAACTATTGGATGCTGCCCACACACATCGATGAGGGGAATCTTCTTTACTGTCTACAGATTCAAATGCTAATCTCTTCCAGAAGCTCCCTTACATACCCACCCAGAAATAATGTTTTACCAACTGTCTGGTCATCCCTTTGCCCAGCTAAATTACATGTACAGTTAACCATCACATCGGCCAACCTTGGACTCACCTCCATGATGTTGTTGCATCGGAAACATCTCTACTGAACACTCAACTAAGTTATAACTGCTAACTTTTGAAAGTTATATCTTGATACATGGTAAACTTTTCTTATAGAAAACAAATAAAAAAAGACAGAAGGATATAAAGTACACAACGAAAGTGTCCCTCTTCCCCATTCCACTTCCCGCCAGTCCTACTTCCCAGATTTAACTGCTGTCTCTACAGAAATTATCTAGAAGTAGAGATATAGATCTACATGTCTTCCCATCCTTTTGTTACACAGATGGGATCATAGAGTACATACCGTCTAATATTTTGCCCTTTATATATATGTGTTTTTTAGTTGTTTGTCTCCCTGAGCTGTCATATTGACGTTGGCATGAAAGGCAACCCCAGAGCTGTTCAGTGTACAACCTGTATAACCATACGCAGCAGTCCAGCTGTCTTCCTTGCTAAATTGTGAGCCACTTAAAGACAAAGACTGCGTCTTTTACTTCTATATCTTGCTGCCTGCTACAATGCCTGGTACATAGAAATTACTAAATGAATGATGGAAAAAAATCTCTAAATACAACATATTCCCTGGGCTACTAACGTTCGTGATCACATAAAATCCTCAGTTCTATAATAGTGACACAGCTGTGAATGTATCCTAGGGAGATAACCACTTTTCCAAGCCATCAGTCAAACTGAAGTGACTACTAAAGCTCATGTTCCTCTTTATAATATACTTTGGTCAATGTTAGGAAAAAAAGGCTTTGGGATCAATTTCTCCAACCATTTATATTTGTGGCTTCATTTTACAGAGAAGGACATTTAAGCTCAGAGAGGTGATGTGTCCTGTTCTTGGTCACAGGATAAGTTAGTGACTGAGTCGAGAATTCACTCTGAGAGTTTGGACTCTAAGACATACATCCTACTTCAGCCCTATGAAGATGCAACATAGAAGTGTGGACAAAACAGTAGATATTTGGGTAAAACTTCAGGAAATTCTGGGGATTCCTTGGAGAATGTGATGCTTTATCATTTAGGATGTATTGGGCTACAAGTAACAGAAAGCCTAACTCACACTGGTTTAAACAAGGGGGGAATTCATTAACTCTCCTAATTGGAAATCCAGCTGTAAGCCAAGATTTTAGGTTTACCTCATCCAGGGTCCCCCGCTCATTCTCTGAGATTCCCTTGGCTGTGTCCTGTTTGATGTGTTGGTTTCATCCCAGGCTGGCCTTCCTTCCAGTAGAAAAAATGACCATAGCTGGTTCAGGCTTCACCCTGCCAATTCTGAGGAAAAAAGAATCCTTCTGTCCCAGCTTTCTCCACAAGAGTTTTGAAAGTCACCTGATTGCCTCAGCCTAGGTGGCATGCCTACCCGGGACCAATGGCTGTGGCCAGAAAAAGAGAACACAAGATTTTGTATAAATCTTCTGAAGCTTTCCCCCGGAACAGAGATCACATGGGCTGGAAGGAGGAAGGGTGGGTGCAATATGAGGCTCTGGGCACTGTTAAGAAAGGAAATAGGGGTGATGGATGCCAGGTAGGCAACCAACAAAGCTTGTGCACAGCACTCCCTGACTGCCACCTATTTCTATTAATACAGGACCTAATTCGTTACCCCATGAATTCTGAGTCCACCCCTGCCCACCAGAAGAACACTCACATGGATTCACGAACCAGCCCAATCAGCCTAACAAAGAAGCCTTGGTTTTTTTCCTTCCCATCTCCTTCTTTTCTTCTGCCTATTCTACCTTCACTGGATACTGTCTTATTGGCTACGTACTGCTAACACTGAGATCAGGGATCACCAGCCCATCATCTTCCATCTGGCTCCACTGCCATTCCCATCAGGGCATTCTGCTGCAAAGAGAAGAGTATGCATTTGTTTTACAGTCTTCAGAGAGGTTTCAAAGCATGTTTCCTTGTGCCCCAATGTCATAAGGAACTCTTAGAGAAATGGTTCTTTCAACGTTTGTTTTTATGAACAGATTTGAGGAACACATCTGAGGTCAGACACTCACTAGTCAGAAGTGACTCTTCTCCAATGCCCAAGTCTTTGTTACCGGTCCTCACTTGGCTGCCTGGAAATGTCTTCCTTAGGATGGGGGCTTTTAAAGGGGGCATCCATGAACTTGATTGAAAAAAAAAAAAGATTATTTTCGACTTCCGGTTAAAACGGAGATATTCCTTCAATTACAAATGTAAGAACCCAGTCACAATTGTAAGGGCACTTACCTGTGACTCTATCACCCATGCACATCTCAGATGCCTACATATAACCTACCATTGCTGTGGATATCTGGAACTACTGTTTATGCCAACCTTCAGAATCATAGCAGTTACCAAAACTCACCATTGGATCTTGTTATTTAAAGAGTCAGTAAAGAAATACACATATTAATATGTTAATGACCATTTTAGAAATATTTTGATAAATGCATTTTGATATCATGGATTACCTTGGTAATCCTCTGTATTTTGCTTAATTAATTTAAAAATGTTCTTCCAATAATTTTTCTATAGCCTGCAGCAGACTGCTAAAGGGATCCGTGTCTCAGAAAAGATTAAGACCCCCTTCCCCTCGCAGTCTTAGAATGGCTTGTTTCTTTGAAGATGGCACAAAACTGGTGTTTTAGTCTACACATTAATTTTTCTCTCCATTTAGCAGTATCATAACGTCTTCAGTGCTGTACATTTAGGATTCGTTACCTTCCCTCCCCGCCCTTATACTTTGCCCTCCGACTATCCCAAAGAAAAATAGCAGACAGGACCCTTCATTGTCTCTCTCTTGCCACATTCCAGGGGCCTCAATGTCAGGGCTCCTTGGTATTGAGGCAGATTGGTTCAGCACACACAGGCCATCAAGGCCCTATCACCGTCTGTGGTCTCAAATGAGCATTTTTCCCCTTCTCAATTAAGGATTAGTAAAAAGTATTCAAAAGCCCCAAATGCCTCAGTTTCCTTCAAATGTTTTTGAAAAATGCATTTCTTTACTTCTCAACATTGTAGACATTTCCCTGCTTCTTACAATTTCCTTCTAATAATGAAGAGTCAGGGTAGAAAAAAGTCATCTACACATGAATCTAACATTGTCGATGATCTGATTACTTCTTGCCCCAATATTTCCAGGGTCCCCAGCTTTTTCCATATTTTCCCTCTTGCTCACTGTTATATTATGAATTTTCTGGCCTGTTTCAGAAACCTCCCTTGCCTTTCTCTTCTCTCAGATCCTTCCACCATAATTAAAGAGAATTTCGGCGTTCAAATAGGGGAAAAAATCACCGCATCGTCATGTCTAAATGCTTATCACTGTCGCAGGCAGCACTTTTGTGTAACAATTCAAGCTACGTCCTCCTCCGTTTCGACCTCAAATCATTTGTAAAGGCAGGTCCCTCCCGACGACGCCCGGGAGAGAATAGGCTGCCTGCGTGGGTGGTCTGGGGTCTGAGGGAACAGATGACATCATGGATTCACATGGCAAGTTTATGAAGCGGCAGTTCAGCTCTCCCGAGCAGTGGGCCCAGTTGCCTGCATTATCTCTGCTGGAGCATTCAATGCTCGAGAGAGGCAGGACAGGGACACTTGGAAACGATATTTTTAAAGTTGACATTCAAAAGATTTGAAGATTTACAAGCATTAGCGGGATATTTCTGAAATTCTATACTTTCTGGAGGGGGCTGGAGGGAAATCATCGTACCCGAATGATTTTTGCAAACGGGCACACCATTCCTTTTGCCTGCCTGAATTGCTAATTCTGTACCCGCCCCCTTCCAAAAGGGCTATTACTGGTCTTTTCTCAGACTTCTGTTAGGCATTCTGGGCTGGCAGAGAGGGGAAGGGGACAGGACTTTCTGTGTGGACCCTGTAGGAATTTTAGTCTGGGATGAGGTCTATGGGAACACAAGTTAAATCAGACATACACAGAGGTTATAGAACACCTGCCCCTTAGGAGGGTTCCTGAATGCCAGCCCAGAGGCCCACTGAACTTTCTGTTCTTTGGGGCTCTGCCCAAGCTGATGGTCCCTTAGGCAGCATCTCCACCTTTCTCCGTGATTCTTGTCAGCTGCGATGTGGAAGAAAGAAAGAGTAACTGCTTGTACTAGGGCAGATTACTCTGCTCTATTATTCCCTCTGAATATCTGCCCTATTACAAGCAGTTACACTTTCTTCCTCGGCTATGCATTACCATTTTAATAACCAATATGTTAGTTATGTTTGGATATTTTCTCCAATAGGCATTTTGACTCTTCCTCCAAATTAAATAATTACAGTTTCAAGCCATAATCATTTCGGAATATCCTAGCATTTAAGTGCTTAGTAGATCCAGGCTAAACGAATTTAAATCTTGGATCTGTCTCTTCATGGTTTTGTGAACGTGGGCAAATTTCTTAACCTTCTTGTATCTCAGTTTCCTCATCGGAAGAATGATCATAATAATTAGTATCTAATTCTTTTTTTTTCAAATTCTTGATATTGTTTGGAGAACTGATGAGTTAATACATATAAAATGCTTAGAATAGTAGTTAGCATAGGGTAAATATTGAGGAATGTTAGCTATTCGTATTACTACTATTATTATCATTTCCTACTTGTGATTGACATTTTCTGAAATCTTGCACAAGCCTGTTGAAATCACCTTTCCCTCCCTCATAGCATCTTACCTTGATAAAAAGGACAAGAGATCTGAGTGCAGAAATCTAAAACGCATGAGTTTCATTTTCAGCTGGAACTAGACACTGCCCCAAACTCAGAATAGGAGGGAGGCTTGGAAATGTCTTTAAGAGATTCATTACTGTTTAAACAGGAGCAGGAAAAGTGTCGTCAGCAAAGGGAAACCTTGAGTTTCTTTTTCTGACCCACCTGCAGCATCTGAAGCAGCAAAGGGGACTTTGTTTTCTTCATGAGGCCATGCAAGGACACACTTAGAAGAAAATAATCGTCCCTATTCAAATATAACTACATTTTCAGATCACTTATATTTAATACTGTTGAAAGAGCTTTTTTGACTTATTTAGATAGAAGTGATCATCTTATATCATTCTTCTGCTTACATAAGAATAGAAACAGATTAGATGACTTCTTAAACTTTCTTCACATGCAGAATGTGCTCATCTGAATAACTTTTTTGACTTCAGGCTGTCAATCTCCATGTTTTCTACAAAGGATCATCCTCTGGGTCATCAAGAAGAGAGCCCTGGTGATGCAGCACTGCATAAAGAGGTCTCCATTTTTTTCTTCAGGACTTTTTTCAAGTCTTGATGCCCACTCAGAAAGGATTGGTGTTGCATTCCTCGTCTTCCCTAGACATATCAATGGAGGATGTTCATACTACAATAGGGACTCAGATTCCTTTCTCAAACACACCTAGAAATTTGATTGACTGAAACTTCTAGCCTACGGTATAGTCGCACCATCAGGACTAACCATCAAGGTACCAGGAGCAACAACACATGGGCAGGCAAAGGCAGCCACCCCCACCAGCCTCCTGGCCTACAGTAATTGAGATGTCATCAACTACAATACACATCCTGATTTCAGAGATATTAAAATGGGGAATGAGACACGCATTTCAAATTGACAAAATATGGCATTAATATCCACCATTAATGACTGCCTAGATGTGAGTTAGGCATGATGTTAAAATCATATAGGTGATATAATTACCTAATAACAACCTGAAAAGTGTAAATCATTATAGCATTTTATTGAAGGGTAAACTGAGGCTCAGAGAGGCTAAAACACTATTCAACCCACACTGCTAAAAAGAAGCATGATCAGGGCTAAGTAATCCTAAGACCTGGATTCAAAGTTCAGGGCTCTTACCCTCAGCAGACCTGTCTCCTAATGTCAGCGGGGCATTCTACAGTGAAACCACAGGGTTGGAGTAAACTCTTGCAACTGAAAGTGTAGAATTATGTTTAACATTCCCCTCAAAACTTCAATCAGCACCAAAGTGAAAATCGTGCACTAATTGGAAGTCAATGACGCAGATAATACGGAATGGAGTACACTGGCTGACGGAAAACTCAACTCTCTTCAGGCACAGAGGCACTTTCTCTGCATTGTAACAATAGCGACAGAACCTAGAACAAAACAGATAAGAAGCTGTTGGACAAATGGTGTTCCTTGTATCTGTACATTTTATGTCTACCTGCCATCTGCTTTCCTTATGCCATCTTTCAAAAGCCCAGACCAGTACAGAATTCATTGTTAGTGGTCTACATTATAACTAAAGCTCACAAAGAAATTTTGTGAGCTCCTGGGTAAAGGGGACAGTTGGACCAGCAATCATTGCTAACGAGTGTCCGTGGATGCATCCTTAGCTACGGGAGGAAAGTCGTTGCACTCATCGCTGTTGGCCTAAACAATATGTTTGGCTAAATGGTTTAAAAAATTGATGCTGATTAATAAGCAAGCATAGCAACTAAGGAGGAATACATTTTTTTCCTTCAATGTTTAATCTTGAAAAGGAATGACCAAGGAATCTCATTTCCTGAGAAAAAAATCTTTTATATCGTTGTTATATTTTTATGCAATTAAAACAAAGAAACATACCTGTTTACAAGTGAATGATCATATTTCTATATAAGCATCTCATCAATGTAGGTGGACATTAACTTCAAAATTAACTTAATATTTTTATTTCCTTCTGGTTTCAAGTCTTTATAAACACCATGAAAGGAAAATACATAGAAATCAACTCCATTAATTCTTTTAGGAGAACTTGATATTTTCATTATTTATGATTCACAACAGTGCATAAATCTAAGAGTAACCATATAATGAGTTATGTAAATTAAATAATAATTTCAAATGATCCTATTCATAAAAAGCTATTTGAGAAAATTAAAGAAAGGTGAAATTTTTAAACTGAAGAAATTTCTAATTCAAAGTTCAATTCATAGGGTTTATTTTTTTCTATTTAAAACATGTCAGGTTTTGATTGCCTCATTAGCACACCCCATAAGAGACAAACAGAGAAGGTTCTGTGCTCACTGCGAGACCATCAGAACTGGAAGGACACAGCTCACTCTAACTTTCCATTTTATGCATGAAGAAACTGAGGTCCAGACTAATGAGGTGATGACAAGCTAGATGGTCAACAAGCTAGATGGGTAGAGGGGAATTTCAGGAAGGAGTAGGGAAGGAATTAATAGTGGAGGGGGAAAATGTCAAGTTTAGTGAGGGGGGGGGAAGAAGTTAAGTTTACAAATTAGGGAAAAGGGTACCTAATATGCCTTGGGGCGAGACAAACAAGAGACTGTAGAATATTTTGCAAGACAAACAGAAGGAGAGACTGTAGAATATTTTGCATTTTTGCAACTAAACAGCGAGGTGAGCCAAGAACACAGAGGGCATTAAACCAAGTAGGGTTAAATCTTTAGCAATAGTCATACTGGGCATAGCCCACTTCTGATGGTTATAGCAATGGATTACATTGTAATAATGGAGAAAACGCAATATCAAGTGAAGTTAAAGATCAGTGAGATGAAGCAACATTTGGCTTACTCGGCTCTCTGCACTTTGGGGAAAAACTGGAGAAGGAGTTTAGGAGGGCTTTGTGCCAGACCCAATGAGATCATAAAGGGAAGAATCTGATTTATGTATAAAAGGTGAGTTTAAAACTATGATTCAGGAATGCTCAGGACTCTGCCCACTTGAGGAACGGTGGAGCCACGTGATCTGTCCAGGCCAATAGACTGTAAGTGCAAGTGCCAGGGTGAAGCTAGAAAGATCCCATGTGACTTGCCAGCTCTCTCTTCCCCTTCTGAAGGGATCACAGAGCCAGGAGTTCAGGCAGGAGACATGGAATAGTAGAAGCCTGGATCACTGTCTCCACATCAAGGTGAATTGTCCTTGGGCATCGGCAGACCTGCAGGGGACATCGCATGAGTGAGAAATAAACACTATGTATTAAGTCACTGTGAGTTGGAGGTTGTTTCTTACAGCAGCATATGCCTACCTAGCTGACTACCTCATTTATAATGTCAGCTTCTACATTTCTCATTTTTAGAAAATAAAATAGAAGAAAATAGAATTAAATTAAATTAAATTAAATTAAAAAATGAAGCGCACCAAATTTCTTTAGCTTCTTTTTCTTTCCTCCCTGGCATTCTTCTTTCTCTCTGCGTAGCAACACCTGTCACGATTCTTTCCCTTCATTTCATCAGAGTTGCTAATGTCCTCTTGAAGCCATGGTTTTTGAATGCTCACTGGGACCCTGCCTTTAGGAACAAGTTTCCCATGTCTGGGCCAGAGGCCTCTCCTCAGTGGGCACTTGTAAAGCCCCGTTCTTTGGGGAACACCACAGGCTTTTCTCCATTGCGGCCAGTGTGAATGTGACTCAAAACACCCCCTGGAAGAAAGCTAGGGGAATGCAAGACTTTGAGGGTTCTGACTGGAGACTCATTTTTCTACTTATTTTCTCCTACCCCACAGGCCCCAGAACATCTGTCAGCCCGAAGCTGGGAGATAATTCATGTCCCGAAAGCATTGCATTTGCTTCTGTTTCCATTGACATCAGGGACTATTGCCCTCTTTCAGGTGTTCTTAGCAAAGAGAGAAGCCATAGAAAAGGTTTGTGCTACACAGAGAGAAACTGTGGAAGAAAAGCTTCAACCTACCGTGTAATTAATTAAATGGTAATAAATAATAATTTGAGAAATTAGATATTTTGTGGTTGATTTTTATGACTTTTAAAATAATATAAGTGGTGGCAAAAAATCCTCCAACATCCAAAACCACAAGTCACATTTTGGTTGTGGTTTTTTTGTTCAAAATACAAAACACTTGGAAAAGATCATCTGAGCTGTATTTTCCCCCACAGAGGTTGAAATTCTCCTCCTTTAAATGATCCCTGGATAATTTACATGTTTTTCTATGTTGGAATCAACATTTTTGCTTGAAGACTTACTTGGTAATATTAATGTTAATTGATTAAATACACCTTATAGTTATCAGAGCAATCCCACAGACATTATTTCATTTTATCTCATTGCTGGTTGGTATATGCTCCGACTTATCTTTGCAGAATGTAAGAGGCTTGTCCAAAGTCCCTCATCCAGAACCTTGAAGATTTTCTAGACCAGGGCTCAGCAAATGGCAGCCACAGCCCAAATCATACCCATCATGTGTTTTTGTATGGCATACAAGCTAAGAGTGGTTTTAACAGTTTTGAATGGTTGGAAGAAGAAGGAGAAGGAGAAGAAGATGATGATTTTGTAACACAAAAAAATTATATAAAGTTCAAATTTCAGTGTCCAAAAATGAGGTTTCCTTGGAGCGAATGAAGTTTTCCTGGAGCTCAGCCACATTTACATATTATTTATGGCTGCTTTCTTGCTACAAGGGCAGAGTTGAGTAGTTGTGACAGAGACCATATGGCCTGCAAAGCATGAACTATTTACTCTCTGGCCCTTTATAGAAAAAGTTTGCCCACCCCTGTCCTAGATCATGGGCTTGTTCCATCGCACAAGAGCTGTCTTTCCAGAATCCTAGCAGACTCAGGAACAAAGGCAAAACCCCCAGAGATCTGGTTTGTGAGCCAGTAGAAGCCTAGAAATTGGCCTGCAGTGAACTAGTCCTTTAAATCCTGAGTGTTTCAGTCTTTCTGATTGGTGAAATGGAGACTGGGGTCCCAGCCTCCAGGCTGGCAGGCAGCTCCCGCCTCCAGGGAGCATAAGAAGTGTGTCCTCATAAGACCTTTGCCAAAATAAAAGGGTGAGATTCCCGCCTTCCCCTCCTCTATTCCATCAACCCTGGGAAAATGTAGTTCATCTGATGCGCTGTCCTTAGGATCAGGGAGGGCAAAACATCCCAGCTTAGAGGCTGAGGACACAAATGGGGAAGGGAACAATAAAATGCTCTAGGGTTTACTTGGTTTTTAATACAGTTATTAGATGTAACTATGTGCAATCCCTGTACTCTGTTTCCACCATGGCAGTTCTTGTCTGCTGTAGGTGGAGCAACGGGCGTGATTTGAGTTGGGCAAGGCAGACGAGATGGAGAAATCAGGTACAGAAGGTTTCTCCTTCTTCTTTTTAGTTCTGATTCATTTTTACTCCCTACTTTTTCTACCTGTGCCTATGAAATATAATATTATCCCCCCTTTTCCGAGTGCCTATTGTATGTCATTCAATTTAGGCTGAAATGGATGATCTCATGTCACTGTCTCCATAACCCCATGGGGTTTACAGAGGAGGGAACTGAAACCTGGGTTGTTTAAAATTCTTTCCTGGTAGCAAGCTGGTGCCTGATCTCTGTAATGCCGACATGCAGGCTTTTCCCTCCAGACCTCAAGAGCTCCACAAAGTCAAGTGTGTCTTCAATCATGGGCATGTTTTTGTTCTGTGACTAGTCGTGACATCCCCTCTGAAGAGAAGCAACCTCCTAGTGCTTTTCCTCAGAGAACCAACTCTTAGGATCTTATAAAGAATCTTAAAAAAAAAAAAACCTGGAGAATGATGGCTTAAAAAAAGCTTAATCAAATTTCTTTACTCCATGACTTCTCAGAGCCTTTCACACACAGCATTTGCTGCCTTTTTCATCTCTATAATTTTAAGGCATGCAATTTAATCTCTCAAAGCCTTAGTTTCCTCCTCTGAAAAACAGAAATAATAATATTTGCCTCTTGAAGTATTAAATATTGTTTTTCTCTTTCTGTTTTTGGCTAGGTACATTTCATTTCTATTAAATGAAGTGAATTATAGCAACCAGAAGGAAATCTGAATAACTGTTGCAGAAAATAAAAAAATCATTTTCATAATAAAATAAGGTAACACATGTCTGCTAAGAGCATAGCACAGCACACATTTTCTATTTATGGTGTTGGTTTTTGTAAAGGAAACGCAATATATTTAGGGTAGGGAAACTCGTGAGCAACCAGTCTGGGCGCAAAATGACATATTAGCATGCTATCACTAGGAGAGAAAGTCACATGTGTGAGTACCTGATGGTGGAAATGTTGGTGGAAACGCATTCGTTGTACCAGCAAGATAGGGGAGGTTTTGGAGCTGCCCAACTTTAAAGCATACTTTTTGAATCATACTGTGAGGATGACTGTTTTTCCATGCATCTAGGACGG